CCATCCTCAGCTTCCAGAGGTGACACACCTGGGCAGCCTCCTGCTGTTTGTGTGACAGCAGAGATTGAGGCACGTTTGGATGAAGGACAGACACAAGAGAGAACCACCTGCCCCCATGGACCAGTTGCTAACATGATGTTACCACCCACAACTTCACCTTGGTGCTCCTTATTGCTGGGCAAGTGCAGATCCTGCTGTTAGGCACTTCCCAAGCCCAGGAATCAGGAGAAGGCCATGGGAGAGGAGCTGGATGGAGGCTGTGTCACATTCTCAGCTGCTCTGAAAGTTCTGGCAAGTTCTGTGCACATTGACCTGCACTGGGGGTTCAGTGAGGGAAAATTCCAGAGAAGGGGATGCAGGTGATAAAACAGGCTCTGAAGATGAGATCTTGCAGTGCCACTGGGACATGCTTCTGTCTGTGTTTTTTCAGTGAGTTTTTCTCCCTGCAGGTCAGCAAAGCTGCCTGTATCCTCACAACCCAGACCTTGATGAGGCTGCTCAAGTCCAGGGAGGCAGCTGGTGCTGTGGATGTGAAAACGTGGCCAACCATCATCGACACAGGTGTGTTCCCTGGGCCAAAAGGCCTCTGCAAGCTTTGTGCAGGGCTGACCAGTGACTTCCCAAGGGTCTGTCCCCCATTTCACATTGGTTTGAGTCCTTACATAAGCTCTCCAATGTAGAAACTCATTCTGACCATGCTCACTGGGATCTCTCCTGCATTAGTTGAGCTGTGCATGGGAAGTAATTCCATGGAGAAGTCACATTGCAGACAACATTGATCTCCATAAGCCAAAGGCCTTTTCTCCCTTTTCCTGGGGATAAATCCTTCCCTACATGGGAGCTTTGGCCTTGCCATGCACTAGTCTGTTTGCAAAGAGACTTAACAGGAAGCTTTATCCTCCACCTCTGGCTCTCTGCAAGTTGTGTTCTCCTTTCAAACTCCAGTTCAGCACCCAAAACTAAGCCCTTTGTTGCTTTCTTGCCTAGATGACCTGCCCAGGAAGCGACTGGCCCAGATCTACAAGCCACCCACACCTGAGATGTTGGCATACCTAGATTTTAGTGTTTCCACCACAGGAATGCTCACAGGAGTGAAGGTACAGTGGCAGGGGCAGGGGGAGGGGTTGGTGCCTTGTCCTGGGCTGACACTCTGAGCCACCTCCACCACAACTGGCCCTTGTGGCTTAAATAAAGACCCTGATTTGCCTCTAGTAAAGCAGTGGAGTTCATATTTCACGTTGTGCTGAAGAGTTAGTTCTGCAGGGGAGGAAAAGAGGTGTCACAGTGTGCTCAGGAGTTCTGCTGCTGCCTCCCACTGGAGAGCTGCCTGTTGGGAGAGCAGCAGAGCCCTGAGCTGCTCTGTCCCCACCAAGGGCAGAGTGGCAGTGCAGCTGGCCAAAAAGAGGAGAAGAAACTAAACCTGACAGCCCTAAAATGCTGGTAATGCTCAGGAGTCAGAGATGACAGAACAAGAGGGCATCACAGTGTGCTCAGGAGTTCTGCTGCTGCCTCCCACTGGAGAGCTGCCTGTTGGGAGAGCAGCAGAGCCCTGAGCTGCTCTGTCCCCACCAAGGGCAGAGTGGCAGTGCAGCTGGCCAAAAAGAGGAGAAGAAACTAAACCTGACAGCCCTAAAATGCTGGTAATGCTCAGGAGTCAGAGATGACAGAACAAGAGGGCAGGACAGCAGGACAAGAGGGCATCAAGCTCTGCTCTGCCAGGGGAGGGTTAGGTTGGATATCAGGAAGAGATTTTTTCCAGAGAGAGTGATCAGACATTGGAATGTGCTGCCCAGG